AGATGGTTCAGGTTTGTTACAGAAATCTGCCGCGCACGCCCCCCGCGCAGGATAGCCCTTGCACGCGTGTCGCGGGGGCGCAGGCCGCCGAGCAACCCCGCGCGGGCGTCGGCCGCGCGCGCGTCGAACTCCTTCCAAAACCTCCGTCGCCAACGCGAGGCCGCCGTCGTCGTCGTTGGCGCGATCGGCATCGGTGCCGCCGCTGGTCGCCGTCGGCGTCGCCGCCAGCACTGCCGGCCTCGTCGTCGCCCGTCGCCGGCGATTCCGCGATGCCGCGCCCGCCCGAGCCGCCGACTCGCATTGAGGCGCCCGCTGTGACGTGCCCAGCGGTCAGCGCCGCCGCGGCCGCGTCGGCCGCGACAAACTAGTTGGCCGCTGCGCGCGCATGTGCGGGCTGGCGCGGCCGCGGAGATGCACCAGCCTACGCCATGCGCTCGTCGCAATCGCCGCGGCGCGGGTTTGCCAGCCAAGTTGCGGGCGGGTGGGCGGGATGTTTGCAAGGGCATGGAGTGCGTCAATTCGCTTGCGCAAACCAGTTTTTTTCGTTTAAGAGGAATTCGATTCGACCCCCCCCCGGGATGCTCCGCGCCCTTTTCCGCTGTGCACTTTGCTTATGGTTCCGCCCCATCGCCCACCTTATATGCGATGTCGCGCCGCCCCGGCCAGGCCGGCATCGACCTCCCCCGTCGCCCGCTGCAAAGGAATTAGGCGCCCGCGCTCGCCCATCACAAATCATAGGCGCACAAGAAATCTGCCGGCAAACAATGAGGCGAAGTGCGCGCGCGCGCGTCGTCGCGCACGCGCGCCGAAATTCCGCAAAATTAAAGGTGCCGGAATAATTTTAAGATTGAGCCTTCAGGTAACAGGTTTAAAATTTGTGTCGTCTCGCGCGTTGTCATGTAATGTTGTTAAATGGGCTTCGCGGGCGCGCGCTGCAAGGGAATCCGCGGCGAAAAATCAAACGAAGCGCGCGCGCGCTCGTCGCCGCGCGCGCGTGTCGCAAGCCGTCAAAAACCGCAGGTTTCGCTTCGATTTCAAAACCGAGCACCCGGAAACCAGGTAAGACAAAACAGCACATGGTTTCGCAACGTCGGTTTTCAGAAAAGCCTGCTCTCGCGCTCTTGCGAATTCTTGATCAAATCCCAGTTTTTGTTTGAGAGGTAATTTTGATCAAGTCCATGGGCTTCTGCCAAACGGACCGCGCCGCATGTCGAACTCGTTCGAACGCCGCTGCGCGCGTGCTGGGATGGGGGGGGGGGGAGGCGGTCAGGCGTCAAATAATGCCACGCAGGCCACGCTCGCGCGTCGGCCGCGGCGCATGCCAAATTCCACCCAAAATCTGGATCGCCAACGCGAAGACGCCATCATCGTCGTCGGCGCGATCAGCGTCGGCGTCGTCGCTGGCCGCGCAGTCGCAGCTGTCATCATCGCCATCAGCATCGTTACTGTTATCATCGCGTCTAGCGTTGTCGACGTTGCCATGATACCGCGCCCGCCCAAGTCGCCGACTCGCATTGAAGTGCCCGCCTGGATGCGCCCAGCGGTCAGCGTCACCGCGGCCGCGTCGGTCGCGCCAGACTAGTTGGCCGCTGCGCGCGAGCGTGCGCGGGCCAGCGCGGCCGCAGAGATGCCCCAGCCAACACCAACCACTCATCGCAATTGCCGCCGCATGGGTTTTGCCAACTAAGTTGCGGGCGGGTGGGCGGGATGATTGCGCGACCAGTGTCATTGACAACTCACTGTGGACAGAAATCAATTTTTTCTCTGAGAAAGAAATAGATTTCACCCCGCCCCCCTCGAGATTAAAACCCCTTTTTAGCATTGTAATGTTCATGCGATTCTGCTCCATCGCCCTGTGTAGATGTGAGTTCGTGTCATCGCAGCCTGGGAGGCGTCGCCCCCCCCACCCCCGCCAGCCTCTGCAACAAATATATATCGAGCGCGCTCGTTCATCACAAATCTTCCGGTTCCGGTTCCCAGTGTAAGTTGCAGCAAATGCGACGAAGCGCAGACGAGCGCGACGTCGCGCGCATGTCGGGAATCAAAAAATTTTTGGTGTCGTAATGGTCAAAACCGAGCGTCCACACAATATATGGAAACACATAGTTTCGCAACGCGGATTGTCAAAACAACTGGCGCTCTCGCTCTTACGAATTCTGAAGAGAACTTACCAGTTGTTCAACATTCGCATAACAGCCACCAGACGGGCTTCGCGCGCGCATGTCGACATCGCTCGGACGCCCGTGCGCAGGCGCTGTCGCAAAAAAACCTTTTTTGCAGCAAGCGGCACGGAGTGTACGCGCGCGCGTCGTCGCGCGCGCATGCCGAAATACTTTGACAAAAGCCATAGGCTTCGCGCGGAATTCAAAACCGATTGCCGCAAAACCATATAACAAACACATGGTTTCGCAACATCAGTTTTGAAAGAAGCCTGCGCCCGGGCCGCTCTCGCGCGTCGGCCGCGCGCGCGCGTCGAACTCCTTCCAAAACCTGCATCACAGACGCGAGGACGCTGTCATCGTCGTCGGCGTAATCCTTATCGGCGCCGTCTCTGGCCGTGCCGTCGTCGTTGCCAACATCGGCGCTAACATCGCTACGATCATCATCGTGTCTAGCGTCGCCGACGTTGCCATGATACCGCGTTCGCGTCGGTCGCGCCAAGCCAGCTGGTTTCTGCGCGCGCGAGCATGCGCTGGCTAGTGCGGCCGCAAAACTGCGCCAAGCAGCATCAAGCAATCATCGCAATTGCTTCCGTATGCGCTTGCGAACTAAGTTGCGGGTGGGTTGGTTGGGTGATTGCGCGAGCAGTGGAATTGATAAGTTCTAGTTCGGCAGGGTGATTTCTCCTTTCCCACAGGAGAATAGACTCTACCCCTTGCCCCCGGTGTTAACGGGTCACCTTTTTTTCGCATTGCAATTTTCACACGAGTCCGCCTCATCGGCCATCTTTCATATTTACTCATACTATCCAAGCCAGTCCATTACTTTCCCCCCGCCATCCTTTGCAACAAATAGTATGCGCGCGCACTCGTTTATCACAAATCATAAGTTTTCATGAGCCACTTGCAAAACATGGACGAAGTGCACACGCTCGCGTCGTCGCGCGCGCATGCTGAACTCCTTCAAACACATCTCTGGTTTCGGAAAGATTTCAAAATCGAGTGTCCCAAAACACATTCACATTCACATGGTTTCGCAGTGATACCCAAAAATAGCTTACGCGCGCGGTCTGGCGAACTCGTAAGAAAACCAAGGGTTTTCCAGATTTTCAAAAAATGCTACCAAACGGGACTCGCGCGTGCGAGTGCCGAAATCTTTCGAACGCCTTTGCGCGCGTGCCGTCGCGAGAATCTTTTGCAAGAAATGGGACGAAGTGCTGACGCGCGCGTCGTCGCGCGCGCATGCCGAAATGTTGCAAAACCTTCGGTTCCGAAAGGATTTCCGAAAAAGATACAAAACCACGAGGTTTCGCAACACGGATTGTCAACAAAAGCGTGCGCGCGCGCTATTGCGTCGTCGTCGTCCTCGTCGCCGTCTTCCCTCCTTCCTCGTCGTCGTCGTCGTCGCCGTCGTCGTCCTCTGTCTTTCCTCGTCGTCTTGGCGCCGTCGTCGTTTCCATCGTCGTTGTCGCCGTGGTCGTCCTTCCTCCCTCGTCGTCTTCGTCGGCGTTTCGTCGTTGTCCCTCCTATTTCGTCGCCGTCGTCGTCGTCGTCGTCGTCTTCCCTCCTCCCTCGTCGTTGTCGTCGTCGCCGTCGTCGTCCCCCCTCCTCCTTCGTCGTGGTCGTCTTCGTTGGCGACGTCGTCGTCGTCGTCGTCGTCTTCGTCGTCGCCGTCGTCGTCGTCGCCGTCGTCGTTGTCGGCGGCGTCGTCGTCGTCCTCCCTCGTCGTCGGTGTCGTCGTCGTCGTCGGTTTTATCGTCGTCGTCGTCGTCAGCGTCGGCGTCGTCGACGTCGTCGTCGTCGTCGGTGTTGTCGTCGTCGTCGTTGTCGTCGTCGTCGTCGAAGTTGTTGGAGACTCGCCCGCAACGTCTACCGTTGTCGACGTTGCCATGATACCGCGCCCGCCCAAGTCGCCGACTCGCAATGAAGTTGCCGCTGGTATGTGCCCAACGATCAGCGCCACCGCGGCCGCGTCGGTCGCGCCAAACCGGCTGGCCGCTGCGCGCGCGTGTTTGGGTTGGCGCGGCCGCAGAGACGCACCAGCCAACGCCGACCATGCATCGCAATCGCCACCTTATGGGTTGTGCCAACCAAGTTGCGGGTGGGTGGGTGGGTGGAATGTTTGCAAGATTACGGGATGTGTCAATTTGTTTGTTAAAATCCATTACACCACGTTTGATTTCACCACATCCATTGCACAATGTAGCTTGCACCACATCGATCGCACCACATTGTTCACACCACATGTATTGTTCCACGTCGAGTGCACCACGATCTATGCTAGAACGCACTGTGTCGGGCCCGCGCTGGCTAACATTGTTATGATTGTTTGTAGCGATGGCGCTGCAACGTAGCCCCGCGAGTCAACGCAGGCGCCTCTTGTCACAGCGGGCGAGCGACTGGGCGGGATCACCAAGGTCTCCGGGGTGGGGCCACGCAGGCCTCCAGAGCGGAGAGGGCGCTGCGCGCGTGAGGAGGGCCGCGCGATGATCTTGGTTACACGTGAGAGTGGCCTCTTTACCTGAGTGACCTGTGCCATCTTCTCCAGGAGGCAAGCACCGGGCGCAGCGATTGTCGAGGGTCAGCCCTGCGCGTGGCCGAGGAGCGTTCTGCTCTGAACCTGGGAGGTGTGCGTTGGGAGGGGCGCGCGATGCTCGCGGGTCGGTTCACCCGTTGTCGCGGGGACGGAGGCTTGAACATGTAATGCAGGCTGGGCGGTGGGCAGGAGTGCCCAGCGGCTCGCCATTCAGATGACGTCCGCAGGTTGCTGTCGCAAAGTGTTAGTCGTCGGTCAGTGGGCATGCGATCGCCAGGCCTGAGCTTTGCCGCCCGCGGCGCGAGGTGCGCATGTACGTGGCCCACTTCTGCTGCATCTCCTGCCTCGCCGTGCTGAGCCACTTCCGGCGCAGGTGCCCAGGAGTGCGCGTCTACGTCGAGTACGACGACTGTTGGAGGACGGGTGGCGGGCAACATCAAAGTTTGTTGCACCCCCTTTTGCGTCAGTTCGCCAACACGCTACCAGGGTCAGAGAAGCAGAGCGTGTGTGTGTGTGTGTGTGTGTGCGTGTGTGATTGGGATGCGTACTACAGCGTTTCACCTTTCTCCCAATTTGACGCTTTGGCACAGCATTCTCGTCAGCTCACCGATGCGTCGCGAGTAACGGTCCGCTCCCGTGCGAAGTCGCATCCTGTCAGCGGTACCGATGCGTCGTCCGCCAGCGGAGTGGGACGTCTCGGCTTCGCTTCGCCCCTCTGGCCCTCTCTCCACAGGGGGAGGAAGATGAGGAGGAGGAGGAGGACTTCCCCCTCTTCCTCCTTCGTTTATCTTCCTCCTCTTCGTCATCATCCCACGGACATCGGAGACATCACATTCGGCGGCGACCCGTTCGTTTGGCCTGGGAGACAGGAGCAAAGAGAGTGAGGCAGCGACCACAGTTCCAGGCGTGGTTTCAGAAGCTTTGTATTCCCCGCGGGTAGCGTGATCTCATCCTTCTTCCCCTCGTCCTCCGAGACCTCCCCCTCGTCCTTCCTCGACTTCGACCTGGGTCTGGACGAGGCTCAAGAGAACCTTGGAAGTTGTTGTTCGCCGCCTTGTCGTTTCTGCCATGTTTGTTGGCTGGTCCCAAAAGTTTGGTTCCGCTTCCTTATTTCTACCAGCCTAAGGTTTGTGTCGGGGCGCTCCTGGCCGCAGGGATGTTTCCGTTTGTGTGCCGCAGAAGTGCCTGGGACCCCCCACCTGCGAATTGCACCGCAGACTTGCGCTCTCGAGGAAGCCCAGTGGCTGTGTCACTGGCGGCCGCGAGGTCGAGAAGCCTACGGTCAAGCCGTCGGTGATCCGCGCCTGCAAAGGCCACTCGCTTCGAATGAGTTCGCCCGAAAGGATCCACATCAAGTACGTGGCGTCCACTAGGCATCAGCACGCGGCGATCGTTGCGCCGCCCGACGTCGCTTCCACGATTGGCCCCGGAGAAGGACTTCAGTGGGACGCGCCAGTGCAAGGACCTAAACAACCTTCCCAGTCAGAGTGCCAAGCTTCGGGCTGTCGTTGACTGCGTCGTCGAAGCCAGGGTGGGTGGTGACAACGGAGCAGTCGAACTGGTCCGTCGACGTCTTGAGATGAAACGTGGGGAAGAACGCGATCATTTCCTTCGTTGGCTGGGGCCGAACGGGCGGTCGAAGGACTACGGCGCACAGGGTCTTGACGCAAACCCCGTCAATTTGGACGACCCGCATGCGCTGTAAGGTTCGTACACCATGACGCTCTCGTCACCAAGCTTCGACGCGGCCGCGTTCTGGATTCTCCCAGACGGCTCTTTTGCCACGGAGTTCCGTCTACACCGGAGTGGCGTGCGTTGCCGGCGCCGTGACCCCGACAGTTTCGTGGACTTCGGTCGATGACCAGCGGTTCCACGGCGCGGAGATTGATCCGAAGCCGGGGTTAGGGTGCACCGATTCGGTTAGACCACGTCAGTCTTTCCATCGTATCAGGGGCGACGACGACGACGCCCCCGCGCCCGCGGAGTTCAAGGCAAAGCTGCTCTTGCCCCTGACGTGGGACGATGGATATCTCGTCTGTCGCGGCGCATGCGGGATTCGCTTCGGAGCGCTCCACTGTCTTCATTGTCGTGCGCCTATATTCTTTTTCCCAGGGATTCAGGCGCCCACCTTGATGACCCCGTCGCATCAGTGGCGCGAGACAGGTTCCGCCAGTGTGATCGGAGGAGCAATCGACTGGGGGCCCGGGGACTGCCCCCGTGGCCCCGCGCCGAAGGCCACGAGGGTAGTTCTTCAAGGCCAGGCCGCGGACAGAGGGGGCAAGAAATCGCCGCACAAGTGGGCGCAGCCCGGTGCCTTTGGAGTGGCGCTCCGCCGCAACCAGGCCTTGCAGGGCAGAACAGCGTATTGGAACACCCTCATGGTTACCTTCGCTAGGCGTCCTCATCGTCCCATGCCATCGCGCTCGCCCCCGCGCATCGCCCGCCATTGCCGCGGCCTCCGGCCCAGGGTCGCATCGCGGCAGGCTCGCTCGAAATCCTCGCGGAGGTGGCGGAGGAGAAGGGCGCGGCCAGTAGGGGGTGAAGAAGGGCGCTGCCAGTGAGCGCGGTGCATTTTTCACTCGCGATGAAGTCCCTTCTGCCGCGCGGGATTAACAAAGGCTTCGCATGCCGCGCCAGATCAGAAGGCTGCGCCTGACGCGCTGGATGAACGAAGGCTTCGCCTGCACCGCGAGATAAGGAATGGCTCCGCCTGCCGCGCCGGATTTCCGGGCGCTCGACGCTCGCCGCGCAGCGCCTGACATGCCGCCGAGGGGTCCGCGATGGCTACGCATCATCAGTCATCGTTCCATGTCATCGCGCTCGCCCCCGCGCGTCATCCGCAGTTGCCGCCGCGGCCCCTGGCCCGGGGCCGCGGCGCGGCAGGCTCGCTCGAAGTCTGCGAGGAGGCGGTGGGGGAGAGGGGCGCGGCCAGTGGGGGGTGAAGATGGGTGCCGCCTGTAAGTGCGATGCATTCTTCGCTCGCGATGAAGCCTCCTCTGCCGCTATAGACTAAGACAACGGCTTCGCCTGCCGCGCCAAATCAGAAAGGCTTCGCCTGACGCGCCAGATGAACAAAGGCTTCGTCTGCAGCGCCAGATAAGGCATGGATCCGCCTGCCGCGCGGGATGAACGGGCACCCAGCGCTCGCCGCGCAGCGCCTGACATGCCGCTGAGGGGCCCACGATGGCGACGCATTATCATTCGTCGTTCCGCGTCATCGCGCTCGCCCCTGCCCATCATCCGCCATTGCCGCCGCGGCCGCGGCCCCCGGCACAGGGTCGCAACGCGGCGGGCTTAGCCAAAGCCTGCCAAGAGGTGGTGGAGAAGAGGGGCGCGGCCAGTAGGGGGTGCAGATGGGTGCCGCAAGTAAGTGCGATGCATGTTTCGCTCGTGGTGAAGCTGCGTCTGCCGCTCGGGACAAACAAAGGCTTCGCCTGCCGCGCCAGATCAGGAAGGCTTCGCCCGCCGCGCCGGATGAACGAAGGTTTCGCCTGCGACGCCAGATAAGGATGGCGCCGCCTGACACGCCGGATTACCAGGCACTCGACGCTTGCCGCGCAGCGCCTGACATGCCGCTGAGGGATCCACGATGGCGATGCCTCATCAGTCATCGCCCCATGTCATCGCGCTCGCCCCCGCGCATCACCCGCAATTGCCGCTTCGGCAGCGGCCCCCGGCCAAGGGTCGCACCGCGGGAAGGGTTGCTCGACGTCTGCGTGGAGGTTGTGGAGAAGAAGGGCGCAGCCACCATGGGGAAGGGTGCTGCCGGTGAGTGCGGTGCATTTTTCGTTCGCGATGAAGCTTCGTCTGCCGCGCGGGATACACCGAGTCGACGCCTGCCGCGCCAGATCAGAAAAGGCTTCGCCTCGCGCGCCGGATAAACGAAGGCTTCGCCAGCAACGCCGCAAAAGAAAGGCCCCGCCTGCCACGCCGGATTACCAGGCGCTCGACGCTTGCCGCGCAGCGCCTGGCGAGCCGCCGATGGGGCCCGCGATGGCGACGCATCGGCAGTCATAGTTCCATGTGATCGCGCTCGCCCCCTCGCGTCATCCGCCGCTGCCGCCGCGGCCGCGGCCTCCGGCCCAGGGTCGCATCGCGGCAGGCTTGCTCGAAGTCAGCAGGAGGCGCCGGAGGAAAGGGGTGCGGCCAGTGGGGGGTGAAGAAGGGCGCCGCCTGTAAGCGCGGTGCATTCTTTGCTCGCGATGAAGCTTCGTCTGCCTCGCGGGATAAACAATGGCTTCTCCTGCCGCGCCCGATCAGACAGGCTTTGCCTGCCGCGCCGGGCGAACAGAAGATTCGCCTGCGGCGCCAGATGAGGAAGGCCCCGCCCGCCACGCTGGATTGCCAGGCTCTCGACCCCCTTTGCGCAATACCTGAAACACCGATACGCGTTTTTACAGGCGTTCGTCATGCTGCACGGGGGCGTCAAGACGACGCAGGTTTCGTCCGTCGCTACCGCGCGAGCGGGTGCGAGGGCCGGCGCTTGGCCCGACCGCGCCAAGCTGCCACCCTTACCCCCTTTGAATCTGGACGGGCTGGGCCAAGAACGGTCGGGCCAAAGATCCGGAATTATCAAATCCTGAAGTTCTTTTTGTATCATGTAGTATGTATTTGAAGTGGGGCGGTTCATAATTCCGACGAAAAATCTCCCCGGGCGGGATCTTATCGCCCTGCCAACGCAAGATGATGAAATTCCACTTCAGGATGAACGTGCTTAAACGCTGATGTACTGGGCTCCGGGTGGCGCGCATTGGGCTTCTGTTAGCAATCAGCTCGTGGCAACCATTCGTTGCTTTAGTCGCTGGACCATGAGAACAAGTCGACGGTGATAACGAGGATGAGGAAAAGGAGGACAATGAGGCCAGAACAGCGGTGGTGGCGCGATGTGCTCTGGAAACGAAGGGGCGCGTAGAGCGAGCTTCTTAGCGCGCTTCCTGGACGAGAGCGGGCACGCTTAAAGTGAGCACCGTGCCGAGCTACCTGGCAGCTGCCTCGGCGAGGCGATGCGCGCTGGATGCGAGCACTCACGCGCGGAGTGAGCTTCCCGACGACAACTTCGGCGGCGCGATGTGCCCAGTGAACGAGCGGGTTCGCTTGGAACGAGGTTCCTGGCAGCTGCGCTGGTTATGCAATGTGCGCCGCAAGCGAGCGGGCGCCCACAGGGAACTCACAGAAGGCTCGCGGGAAGGACGCGGGAGGGGCATCACCACCCACCAAACCACCCCACCCAATCCGAAGGCCCAAGTTTGCCCTCCATTCCCAGCGGGGGGGGGCGTCGGGGAGCATCGAAAAAAAAAACATTTGAAACCCGTGCGCCCCCCAACCCGAAATTCGGGTATTAGGGTTGGGTTGGGTTGGGGTGGGGTGGTAGGTAATCAGGGCACCGCTCCAGGGCGCGCGTATTACGGGCGGTATTCAAATAAACAGTGAGACCCCCCCAGGCAAACCCAGTCAGGGGAAGAGGCTTTGCAGCAGGCTTTTGTTGAAAGTCTGTTTGGCCTTACCGATGCCAATGCCGACCCTCAACCTCGAATCTAGACCATCTGCTCTCGTTCCGCCATCATCCGTCTTCCCTCCCTTATTCCCACTTCTATTTCCTACATGCATGCCTCCCTTTCTTTTCTCTCCCTTATTTGTTTCTCCAGCTCGCATTCATGATCCTTCCTCTTGCTTGCATCGGCCTCGGGGTCGACTCCGAGTACACATCTTCCTTATCTTGAAAGGTAAGTCCCATGTTAGTTGCCGTTGGATAAGACACTTGCATCAACCATGGATCCGTCCCTGAAGCTTCGACTGCGGATGTTGTCTTTCTCGAGGCGCTACCAAGCTAGCGGTTGGTGCTGGCCATTTGGAGTAACCCGCCTCGTGACGGTACGTGTTCTCTGCCTCTCCTGCCGAGTCACCTACCGATGTCTTTACGCCAAAGATGGCAGTCAGAATCACGATGATACATATGGGAGCAGGCCCACAAGGAGGGCGCCGAGTCAGCCCCAGGCTTGGCGGAGTGCATCCGCGCAGCCGGCGCTTCTGGTGACCGCCCGGCGCACGCTTAAGTAAGTTCGCCAGTTTGTGCTGTTTTCTTTCTGGTAATGCGTTGTTCTGGTATCGCCTCTCCCTCGTCCTCTCTCCTTGGCATGGTTGTTTTCAGTACCATTTCGATTGCCCTGCCTGCTCGCTCAGCGCTTGTCCGTTCACCCACGGCGCTCGACCAGCGAGGCCAGTCGCATTTCACGCCGCTCTGTGTTGTTCCTCTCCTTCCTCCTCCCTTCTCCTTCGCTGGCACTCGCGAGGGCTTCTGTGCGGGTGCCGTCTACACAGGTCTGCATGCGCACGCGCGAGCTTCTTTTTGTGTTTTCTCTCTCTCTCTCTCTCTCGTCCTCTCTTCCTTCCTCCTCTTTCCCCCTCCTAGGTTTACATGGTCATTCACGGAGCTCGGGCTCTGCTCTGAAATTCTGTTCTTCCGAGGTCGCGCGCGACGCTTCGCCCATCGCAGGTGGGCCGGGACGCTGCGCCGGGTGGTTTGGAGCACCTTATCATTTTCCCTCTCCGTCCTCTGTTCCTCTTCCTCCTCTTTCCTCCTCCTCCCCCCTCCCGCGCTTGGTGCGACACGCCGGCGTCCACCCAGCAATGCCTCTATCCACCTAGCTGTTTTGGCGTTGACCCTGTAGGGTGATCCACAGGTGCCGCCGCAGCCGTTCTGTGCGCACTTTGTTGGCGCCGTCCGAGGCCCTGGGAACCCGCGGGCCACGGGAGATCTCAAATGGGCCCTTCAAGGAAAAAGAAAACGGTCACGATGAGATGTCGTGGGCCCCTCGGAGCACATGCGCAGGGCCATCTCTGGCGCAGGCTGGATCGTTGGAAGATCGCCACCCTCCCCTGGGCCACGACCAACTCGGGCAGCGCGACGCCTTCAACAACTGGTGAGCCACGGCCACCCTCGCGCGCCAGCGGCCTACTTGCGAACCATCTTCAACTTGTGATGCACGGGCCACCGGTTCCAGGGCGCAGGCCCTGGCCGGTTTGCAGGTGGCGGCGTCCGGGACAAATCGGAATGGAGTATTTTGAGTTTTGCTCCTCTGCGAAGGCCTCGTTTCCTGAGTTCCACATCCCGCCTTCTGCGTCTAAGAGCTGGAAACTTTTCCAGGACTGCAGGAGCTGCCTGTGCCAATGGGCACCTCTCCGGCCATCCTTTGCCTCCAGCAGGGGGTATAATTGCATGGTTTGTACCGTCTGCGTGGGGCTCCTCGCCACGGACTGTCAAGGCCGCGCAGATTCCGGGCGCTTTCAGGGAATAGTGCCGTCAAGGCGCAACCGGTTCTGACCAGAGGGATGATTCGGTGCAGCCACTTTTGGTACGTGTTTCACTTACTAGTGCAGTGTGCCCCTCATCGTCCTCCTCCTTCTCCTGCGGCTGCCTTTGTCGACACTGTTTTGGTGCTTTTTGGGTGCAGCGTGATACAATGTCTGCCGCCTCTTGCTACGCAGGGAACCCGCGCGCACCTATGGCGCCCTGCTGTCGTCCCCTCCCTCGCCTTATGTTTCTTCCTTCCTCCCCTCCTCCTCTTCGTATTCCTCCTCTCCTCTCGTCCTCGTGTGCTCGATGTGGGAAGTGTGGCTGTCCAGGCCTTTGGGGATACACGCACATGGCGCGCTTTGGTTAATTTCCAGATTTCGAATCTGTGCACGGGCTTGCCTACTGCAGGTCGGCTCGTGTGCCAGTCCAGGATTTCTTGGCGTCTGAAATTCTCCGCTCTTAATTACCCTCTGTCGCTCCTCCTCCTCCTCTTTCCTTATCCTCCTCCTCCTCCTCCTCCCGCTTCTCCACCCGCACCCCTCTCGTCGGAATTGAGCCACATTTTGTTGGGAAAACGTTCCCCTGAGCAGAAGCGAAAACGCCCGCGCACCGAGTCCGTGGCACGCCTTTTTGCTCCTACTGTCCACAAGGGGGGCAAGATTTGTCCGCCTCTCTGATTACTGCCGGGCATGGCACGGCATTCACATTGAGCAGGGTAGTGGCCCTTGTGATTTGCATCGGGTCGGTCGGTGTCCGCTCCCATCTTCTTCCCTATGAAAAGACACCTGTTCCCCCCCCTCTCCCATATCCCACCGTCACTATCCCCTCTCCGTTCCCCCCTCCCTTCCGTGGGCAAAGCGTTGCGACACATAACGGGAATCTGACCCCCTCGTCTAAATTCATGTGTGCGCGGCGGCGCAGAATTTGCAAGACTGAGAGGGCAGTGTGAAAGCACGCGGGAGTCGCGACAGGTGATGGCGAAAGTGGAGGCGAGATACAACATGGAAGCTGCGAGCCCGAGGGGGCGGTGCGACGGCCATTGGGCGCTGCGACGCAAAATCGTGAGTGGAACGTCTGGTTCTCGATTGGCGGTTGCGATCCTCCGAGCCTATCTGGGACTTTGCAGCGTGCGGCTTCGAAGTCAGCCCCAGCGCTCCGCGGGCCAGAGCTCGTGCGGACCGCGGCCGTCGAGCGGCGGCGAGCGGCAGCAGCTTGCACTCCATGGGCCGCGGCCCCCCGCGGGCCTGCCCGGGTGGGCGTGCGCCCAGCTGCAAGCGGGTCCTGCGGTCTCCCGTCCGCCCGTCCCTCCAAGCCCCCCCCCCCCTCACCGTGAGGTGGCAGAGGTCCGCACAGTGACACGCGCGCGGTCGATGGCTGCCCGTTTCGAGCACGGAGTGCACGACTAGCGTACGAGACACAGGATGTCGCCGAGTCCCCAGAAAACGGCAAACAACGACTTGCCCCTCATGCCATCCCGTCGCAGCGGGCGCCGAGGACACGCGCCCTCGACTTGTGAGCATCCTCCAGGCGGCCTTGGCGACGGACCCCATCGAGGCCGAGCAGCTCGCCCGCCCAGGATCTGAGCCTCGTCGCTCGCCCAGCTTGCGACCCCTGGCCTCCTGGCCTCATGGGGTGGAGGCGGTTAAGCAAACAGATAGGAGCAGCACCCTCGATTTCTCCCTGCCCGTTTCCTCCGCCTCCCCGCCTCATTCCTACCTCTTCGTTTGTCTTTTGCTTGCTGGGGGCGTGGGAGGAGCAGGGAGATGATGAGTAATATGGAGGAGAAGAAGTGAGGTGAGGGAGGAAGCAGGACGATGAAAAGGCGGAGGAGGAGGAAGAGACGTAGGAGGAGAAGGTAAAGGTATAAGAAAGAGGGGTGTGAGCAACGAGGAGGACGAGGATGCAGGCGAGGGAGGATGGGAACGAAGGGGGGAAATCGCTCCAGGAGCAAACAAAACACGGGTCACAGGTTGACGCGTTACCATTCTCCCTCTCTGTATCTGATGTGAGCGCCTCCCTCCTCCGCAGGACCGTCGCAGAAGTCTTCCTTCCGGAGGAATGATGGCGACCTCGACCTGGTCCCCGGGAAGGCCCACTGGAGCCCCAGGCAAGAGCGCTCCAGCCCGCCCCAGGAGACCTAAAGAGGGGCTCAGGCTGCCCCAGTGGGGCTCGAAGAGGCCACAGCAGGTGTCCCAGGTCTTGTAGCAGCACCAGCACAACAATCAGCAGTAAGGAACAGCTCGCAGCAGCCAGGTCGATGCGTGTTCCTTCCCCTGCTGGCAAAGGCTACACGCGCCACTTTCGTTGAGTTGCATGCCTGTCCGCCTTCAAGAGGTGGCCCAGTCCTTAAATTGCGACCAAGATGTCCGAGGGTTCCATGAGGAGCCCCAGACGGCCAAACAAGCAGTTATTGGTGACCCGATACTCTTGCAGCAGCACTAGCAGAGCCAGCAGCAGCTACGTGGCACGAGGCAGGAGTCTGAGGCAGGAGGCGGCGGAGGGGCAGAAGATGTTCTCCCGATTCTTGGGTGACCTGGTCGGTCGCTTGTCGCCCCGCTCGATTGGATTTGGGATATGCAGATGCCTTGTTACCGCTCGTTCTCTCCAGCGGCCTTCCCGGTGGACGACAGGCGGCACAGTCGAAATCTGGCCTGACAGGGCCGGTTCTGCTCGCATCAGCAGCAGCGGCGCCCTTACGTCCGATGCGCTTGGAAGAGTGCCAAACGCCCCACTGCATGCAATGGTGGCGGGCCCCAAGCGGCTCGAATTCAGGCTTGGCGTGGACTATTCTTCGAGCATGCCCGATTTCCCAGCGGGCCACCTTGATGCCTTTGGGCTCCTGCCCCGCCGTCCCTCCTCCCCGGCGTTGCGGCGCGAGGACGCCACGGCGGCCTGGAGTGGCCCACAGTTTCCTCGCGGCAGCTGGGCAACATGCAGCCCGAGCCGCTCGGGCAGCACGCGGTCGCGTCCGCAGGGGCGCGGCGCCGCCGCTCCGTCCGGGACCGGGCGGCCGAGACGCGCGGCATGGAGCACGCGGCGCGGGCGCGGCCGGACGAAGGCGGCCACTCCAACGGAACCGGCCGAAGGGTTTTGGCGCGTGCAGCTCGGGCGTCGCCGGTGACGGGAGCGGTGAAGAGAGGTGTAGCTTTTTCTCGCCTCGTGTGGCCCGAGGGGTGCACGAGAGGTGCACGTTGCTTTTGCCCTCCCGCTCAGCACCAGCCGTTGCAGCGGCGCCCAGGGAGCGGGGGAGCGGGAGCGGGCCCCATGGGAAGGGGGCGGAGAAGGAGGCGCCTCGGCCAGGTGCTTGCAGGGGCGGAGGCACGAGCGGGTGCGGGAGATGCTGCTTTACATCTTTTCAGCCATGTCGCTCCAAGACCCCTCAGACACGCTGGTCGCCCAGACCAGAAGGGTTATGACGAGAGGGAGGAGGAGGAGGAGGAGGAGGAGGAGGAGGAGGAGGAGGAGGAGGAGGAGGAGGAGGAGGACCAGTGGAAGCCCAAGAGTCATCAACGACGTTGGAATCAACCCTGCCTCCAAGCTCCCCCTTCATATGCCCCTACTGCGGTTCATTTCCACTGAGGGAGTGGCCTCGTTGGAAGACAACCGTTTGAAGACTCTGAAGCATGCCAGAACAATGTCTCGGCATTCCAACGCCACGGATCAACCTGACTGTTGCGTCTTGGCGATCTTAAATCATGCCAGAACACCGTTCCTGAGATTTCAACTCAGCGGATCAACTTTACGAATGCGGATCATGGGAAGCCATGGAACTCCTGCATTGTTCAAATCGAATGTGCGCGGCGCTGAGGCGAGAGCCACATTTTGAAAAGGGACCGCCCTCAATCTGTGAAACTCTTGTACATGTTTAAAACGAATGTGCGCGGCGCTACGGCGAGTGCCACATGTTGAAAAGGAACCGCCCTCAATCCGCGAAGCTCTTGCATTTGTTACAACGAATGTGCGCGGCGCTAAGGCGAGAGCCACATGTTGAAAGCCACCCGCTTGGGGGGCGCTAAGCGCTAAGGCGAGGCCTCTTGGGCGGTCTTGGGGCTTTCTTGGCCGTCATGGGGCCATCTTGGAGCCCTCTTGGGCGATCTTCGGGCGACCTTGGGAGCCTCTTGGGCCGTCTTGGGCCGTCGGAAGGCCGAAAATGGGCAAATACCAAAATCCTTCAAACACCTAGCTAAAATCAATGGTTTTGGCCTCTTCAGGCCTTCGTCGAGGACCTCTTGGAGGCCTCTTTGGCCCGTCTTGGAGGCCTCTGAGGAGCCTCTTGGGCCTATCTGAGGCCGTCTTGTGTGCATCTTGGGCCGTCTTGGAGGCAGCTAGGAGCCATCTTAACCGTCCTGGAGGCCATCTGGACCGTCTTGGAGGCATCTTGGAGGCCATCGTGGGCCATCGTGGCTGTCTTGGAGGCTATCTTGGGTGTCTTCGAGGCCTCTTGGGCCGTCGTGGGGCCGTCTTGGGGCCGTCTTGAGAGCCTCTTGGGCCGTCGTGGGGCCATCTAGAAGGCTTCTTGGGCCATCTTGCGGCGACCTTTGAGGCCTTTTGGGCCGTCTTGGGCCGTCGGATGGCCGGAAAGGCGCAAATGCAACAATCCTTCAAAAACCTCAGGAACATACATAATTTTGCCTCTTCGGGCCTTCCTGGAGGACCTCTTGGAGGCCTCTTGGGCCGTCTTGGAGGCGTCTTGGGAGCCTCTTGGGCCGTTTTTGGCCATCATGAGGCCATCTTAGGCCGTCTTGGGTGCATCTTGGGCCATCTTGGAGGCATCTTGGGGCCATCGGGGCCGTTTTGGCGGCCATCTTGGCCGTCGCGGAGGCCATCTTAGGCCATCTTGGAGCCGTCCCTTTGCAACCACCTCTGGGCAATCCTTCCGGGTGGCCGACGGGACGGGCCGAAGCCCCAGGGGGAATTCTTTGGGAAAAAGAACCAAAACCAAAACCCGTATAGTTCGGCACGCCAGGCACCCCTTTGCTAAATCAAAAGGGGACGGCGGATCCGAGTGGCCTTCGGCCCATCTCGCCACCGTGCCTGGGTTGTGGGCCTGAGGCCACTTGTATATGTGTTGGGGTGTCGTGGTTAGCCTCTCGGGGGCCTCTTGGACGCGGTCTGGGCCTCTCTTGGGGGTCTCTTGGGGCTTCGTGAGGTATCTTTTGGGCCTCTTGGAGGCTTCTTGGGCGCGTCTTGGGCGCCTCGTGGAGCCTCTTGCGGCCTCTTGGGTGCCTCTCGGGGCCTCATGGGGGCTTCAAGGGGTACAAGTATCGAAGGTTTGGTTCGTGGTCCCCTGCTTGGGCCCTTCTTGGGGCCGTGCTTGGGGCCACCTCGGGCCGTATTGTGCGCTTCGTGGGCCACTTTGGAGCCCTATTGGGCCGCCTCGGGGCCCTCTTGGAGGCGTCGTGGGCTGTCTTGGGGCGGTCTTGGGAGCTTTTTGAGCCGTCTGGGAGCGTCGGAAAGCCGAAAATGCGAGAAGGCCCGGATCCATTGAAAAGCTGCCTCAAATCTATGATTTTGGCCTCTTTAGACATTCTTGGGCCGCGTTGGAACCATATTCGCGCACCCTGGAGCATTCTTGGCCTCCGCAATGCGACTATGGCATAATGTTGCCAGGGTTTATGGCTTCAGGTGCGCGAGCATAGGGTAACAATCTTGGGTTTGTTGCCTCGGGAACACTAAAATTGCAGAATGTACCATGATTCGTGGCTTCGGGAACGCGAGCAGTGTGTATTTTACGAGAGTGTATGGCCTCGGGGGCGCGAATCTCATGTATTTGTACATGCCCCACGGCCCCCCAGGCATTCTGAGGACGTGACTCGGGCGTGGTAGCCGGGCTGTTCGGTTTCCCCCCCCCCTCACGTGGACAGTAGCAATTCAGGGCAGGAGGCAGAATGTGGAATGCTCACCATGGGAGCTGGAACCTGCAACTGGAGCAGGGAGGAGCAAGCCTAAGCCTCGCAGCCTGATGGCCCCGGCAGGGGGCCGGCGGATCCTTTCCCGGCTCCTCACATCTTTCCCTTTGCTTTTTGATTGCCAAAGTTGGCGTATCGTTGTTCTGGTGATTCGAGTCCTCCCTCTTGTCGTTCTCCTTGGCGCGCTTCCTCGGGCTGTTTCTTCACATCCCGTGCTTTGTGTTCCTGATCCTCGGCAAGGCCATCTCAAGCATCTACAGCGCCACAACCTCGATATTTTGATCAGAAGCAGTTGTGCAAAACACGAACCGAAATGTAACGGACTTGTATGTTGGACTGCTGGAGTTGGCATTTGGGGCACCGCCTCCCCCGTGAACCTTCCTTCACCCCTCCGGTCTCAAACGCGAAATCGAGAACTTTTGGTCAGGCGGCCAAACAGCAGCGCACACTAATCCCGCCAGCCCTCTGGGTCTAGGTGGTTTCGGGCGGTTTCTCTTCCAGACCCTTCCTTCCCCTTCGCGGAGGGTTCTACCCTTCTCCCTGCCCCATGCCCCGGACCTGGAGGGGGCTTTCGCGAGGCGTGGGGGCGCCAAGGATGGTTCAAGATGGCCTCAAGAGGGCCTCGGAGAGCCCAAAGGTGGTTTCCAAGATTGCTCACGATAGCCTGACGTGGCTCCAGGTGGCTCCCAAGATGCTCCCCGAGGCCCCAAGACCGCCCCAAGGCGGCCCCAGGTGGCCACGGAACCTCCCCGGGAGGCCGCCGAGCGGCCAGAAGACCTCAGACCCTTCAGGACGATCAGTGAGGTTTGCCTCCTCGCCTTTTTTTGTTTTCGGTTGCCCTCCGAGGCCTCAGGATGGTTCCAAGAGGCCCCCTGAGTCACCACCCACCAAACCACCCCAACCCAACCCCCGAAGCCTCAGATTTACGTACCCTCGATTTCTAGTGGGGGGGGGGGTCCGGGAACATCGAAAAAGCACATCTGGAGCCCCTACCCCCCCCCAACCCGAAATTCGGATCTTCGGGTTTGGCTGGGGTGGTCTGGGAGGTAGTCAGGACAATCAATGATTTTTGCCTTCTCGCCGTTTTGTTTTCGATTGCCCTCCGAGGCCTCAGGATGGTTCCAAGAGGCCCCCTGAGTCACCACCCACCAAACCACCCCAACCCAACCCCCGAAGCCTCAGATTCACCCTCGACTTCTAGTGGGGTGGGGGGGGGTCCTGGAACCTCGAAAAAGCACATATGGAGCCCAATACCCCCCCCCCAGCCCGAAAGTCGGATCTTCGGGGTTTGGCTGGGGTGGTTTGGTAGGTAGTCAGGACAATCAATGATTTTTGCCTTCTCGCCGTTTTGTTTTCGATTGCCCTCCGAGGCCTCAGGATGGCTCCAAGAGGCCCCCGGAGGGCTCCAAGAGAGGCCCAATGAGAGCCCCCAGGGCGGCCCCGAGAGAGCGCCCCCGGGTGCCCCAAGGATGGGTCCAAGGAGGTCCCAGGAGACGAGCCGAGGCAGTTCGAGGAGGGCAAGGCCAATTCGATCCTCCTCCTCCTCCTCCTCCTCCTCCTCCTCCTCCTCTTCCTCCTCTCCTCCTCCTCCTCTCCATTCGTCCTCCGTCCTCCGTCCTCCTCCTCCTCCTCCTCCTCCTCCTGCTCCTCCTCCTCCTCCTCCTCCTCCTCCTTTAAATACCCCTCTGGCAGTGCCCCTCTTTATTAAGTACCCCTCCTTTAATACATCGACCTTCTCCACGATGGCTCCAAGAGAGCAACCCCAAGGCCCCCACGAGCGGCCAAGGGGGTCCAGGAGGCGAGCTGAGGCCTTCGAGAAGGGCAGGGCCAGTTCAGTGCCCCCCTTTCACAAGCCTCGTCAAGAATAAGCAGAAGCGCAGTTGGAAATCACGACGATCGATCTCCTCGGGCACTTGTTAGAGATTGCGTTCTTCAATGCTGCGGAGGGGTCGTCGGATTTTTGAAGCCCTTGCGTCCACGTCAGATATCTAGCGTCAGCATTGGAGTAGCGCTGACCATGCAATCACCGAAAACATAATCCCTCAGTTTATTTTTGACGAGGGTTGTAGTACCCCTCCTTTAATAAATCGACCTTCTCCACGATGGCTCCAAGAGAGCACCCCCAAGGCCCCCACGAGCGGCCAACGAGGCGCCAAGGAGGCCCCACGATACCCCCAATTCAGTACCCCTCTTTAAGTACCCCTCCTTTAATAAATCGACCTTCTCCAAGACGGCTCCAAGAGAGCACCCCGAGGCCCCCACGAGCGGCCAGCGAGGCGCCAAGGAGGCCCCACGATACCCCCAAGAGGCCCCCAAGAGACCTCCACGAGGCCCCCAAGGGGCTCCCCGAGGCACCCAAGACGCCCTAAGTGGCGCACGGGACCGCCAAGAGGCCCCCAAGACGCCCCGAGGGGTCCCCAAGCTCGCCATGCTTCTATTCCTTCCCTTCTTTTCTTCTCCTCCTCGTCCGCCGATTCCTCTTTCTCCCTCCTCCCCCTTCCCCTCCTCATTCTTTTCCTCCTCCTCCTCATCCTCCTACTTTTTGCTCGCGTGCAAGAAGGCCCACGGACATCCCAACCAAAGTCGGGTCTAACCAGATGCGCTTGGCCAGCAACATCCATAACCAGCTCGCCGAGGCCATTGCCGATGGATCACGGCCACGCGCAGCGGTTACCGCCACGAGTCCTCACCCAGCTGGCCCATCCCAATCGTCTGCGGCACACCCTGTTCCAAGAGGATCGCAGCGAGGTTTGGTCCAGAGGTTTCTCCTCACGATCTCCAGCGGCGCTGGTTGCATCTCCGTCAACAGATTTGTCAGATCTCGGCGGCCTGGCGATGGGCGGTACTCAAACCATCTGCGGGGGATGGCACACTACTCGTAGGATGCACGTACGGCCCGATCAGGCGAGTTGCATATTGGGCTGTGTTGCTGCCCACGCAATCGGCCATTATCTTCGCTGCCCTCGTCTGACCCATCTCACGTGTTTGCCTCGCACGTTCACGCACTCTCATCCGTTGGCGCGTATTGGGCTCGGCGCTGCCTCAGACTACCCACGGGATCCACACCACGAGCAGTCACTGCCGAACACCATTTAGCGCCTTGTTCTCGCCCACTACATCGTCCTCGAGTTGCTCTATACGCAGGCAGACAGCTGGAAAGTTTCCCAATACGACTCACATATCCGAGCTCGTCGTGCAGCCCGCGATCGGCTCCAACATGGTGCTGTTCCGACTCCAGCGCCATCGCGCCTTCAGGCCACGGCTCCCGCCGCTGCTGACGACGTCAACCTTGTGGTACCCATGCCTTCACGGCCTTCTGAAGCTCCTCATTGCGAAGAGCGTGTGCGCTCGACTATTGAGCCACTGTCCAACGCTGTCTTTCATCACGCCCACGGCCTCAACATCACCTCTACCTCCGTCGTTGGTGAGCTCAGCTCAGCAATACCTTTACTTCCGCGGCCCCATGAAGCTCTGCCGTGGAGGAGGAGGGAAGCGGAGAAGAAGGGTCGAGGAGGGGCAGTTTCAGACTGACAAGGAGAAGGATGAGGCGGAGGCGGCGGCGGAGAGAGGCCCATTAGGGTCCGCGCTCCCCCCTCCCCCCCAAAACCCCCGCGCTGCGTGAGGTTGCTTCACTGTTTCGCAGCTCCATTCTACCATCGCAGTATGCTGCCGCGCCGCTTCCAAGTGGATGGAGGGCCTTGCGCACCTTCTGCTTCTGCAGCGAGCCCGACCGCCCTCCACCCCTCACGGGCCGGGACGCGGGCGCCCACCGCGTCGCTGCGTCGCTGCGTCGCTGCGCCCCCCCGCAGGCCAGCTCGCGCGGCGGAGCAGACGGGCAGCTTCGCGGAGCGGCGGCCAACGCGGGCGCCACGCTGCAGGCGCCGCCTCCCCGCCTCCGAGCGGGCCATCGTTGGCGGCCCGCGCCGCATCGGCCGGCGCGGTGAGGCGCGAGGATCCCGGATCAGGCCAGCCAGAACTGGGGGAGCTGTGGTCCTTACCCCCCTGGGGGAACCATCGATTTCGACACCCCTCTCGAGAGGTCGTCGACGCGATGGGTTCCCCCAGGGGGGGGCAAGGGCCACAGCTCCCCCAGTTGTGCTGGCCGGAGGATCGACATCTCTGGACGCGTTGGGCCCTGTCTGGGCCTGCGCGTGCCAGGGGGCGTCGGGCGCCCTGCGGAGGCCTTCAGGGCCCTGAAGCCACCCAAGGCCAGTCATAGTTTGGGGCTCCGGAGGCCCGTTCCCCAGCACCGGGGCCCGCAGCGGAACGACCGACGACGCGTCACCCGCGGGTGCGGGAGCGCGGGAGCGTTCCGGAGCCCCGCGAGCTGGGGAAGGCAAGACGCCCGAGGTCTTGGGGAGTGGTCCTTGCCCACGGTGTCCCCAAGACGTGGGGCCGAGAAGGGTTTCTTGAGTCCCCAACGGGACCCAGGAGCTGGGGACATCTTGGGCCAGGGGCACTTTTGTCACAAACTGACCGCGTTCCCCCATTCCGTTTTTCTCACAAGCTGAGACGGTGGGCGCAATCGGGGAGCAGCATCGGTTTCTGTAGCCATATGTGGGATGTGTTCACAGGGTGTCTTCCTGCTTTTTAGGGAAGGTGCATACTGAACTCTTCCATCATGTGTTTAGACTGTCCAGAACTATGCAGTGTCCATACTTGTTCAACAAGCTCCTTTGTCCTAGTCGTACGTAATCCTCTCCTCCGCGTCCACCCCCTTTGATGATACATCCCTCCTCGTTCGAAGTGCCCTCTTTGAACTCCTTACATGCGGAGCTCAGCGTCCGATTATGAATTCGAGCACAGCGCAAACCGTAGTGTTATGGCGATGGGCATGTTGCACCAATCGTTACATCGAGCTCCGAAATTAGCCAGGCGGTGGAGCAGTGAGTTCTGATCCTTTGACGCTCGAAGTTCCATCCTCACGGCCTCTCTGTCGCAGGAGTCGCCATGGGCAAGACCATACCAAGGAGGAGCACGAGCAGCGGCAGCAGCAGCAGCAGCAGCAGAAGCAGGCGGCCTGCGAAGTGGGGGTTCGGGTGACTGGGGCAACCACCTACTTGCACGTGGAGGGTAGCTTCGGCAAGGGTGAAATGTTAGCCCCATCGAGGCCGATTCCAGCAGAAAGCAGCTCGAGCGCAGGTCTACAAGTTGCACGTAACTTCCTAACAACCACAACCCGAAATGACAGCCTATTTTTCTTCTGCCAGATGCCATGTCAACAACCTCACCCACGGCAATGTCCGAAAGCACTCTGTGATTATGTAGGCACCGGTTCAGGTCATCGACAATAATGCGTGGCCGTTCAAGTAGCATTGGCGCGCCGTCGGCAACATCACATCGTGTTGCCCTCGTGATTCCAGCCGGGATCACCGCGAGCAGAGCTTCGCATGACTCCAGTCACGCGCTAGTGCAGCCAGGTGTAGGTGGCAGGCATGGAAGGGCACAGCAGACGCGCCGAAACACAGCGAAAGTTCGAAACAGTAGCGGTTCCGTCCTCTCGTTGACAGGACGTCGAAGCGTTCGGGGCCGTGCACGTGGGCGGACTGGGCACAGCGGGGCTCAGGAAACGACCCTCGTCTGGCCCAGCTTGGCGAGTTCCAGCGGCGGCGCGGAGGAGACGTAGGCACACGAGAGATTGAACGCGGCATGCGACCTTCCGAGCTGCCGTCGAGGAGTCGATACAGGCTACAGCCGTGACTCGCCTTCGCCGTCCTGATCCTCATTACCACCGGTAATGCTTTCGGCTCAGGCCGTTTCGGCACCAGGCCTCGTGCAGCGTGCCCGCCTGGTGCGGGCGCGCGCTGTGTAGGCCATGCTCCGCGTGGCTCCCGCGGTGTCGCTGCACAGAACTCCTCTCGCCACCCTCGGCCCGGGGCGGGCGCGGGGCAGCCGCTGGCGCCCCACTGGCGGCCGCGAGGCTGCCAGCGCAGGCGCCCATGCGGCCTCGCATGTGCACCGAGTCGACCGGTTGCGGGTGCCCGAGGCCACCAAGCAGAGTTTGTACGGCATGGGCGTCACCAAGCTGTTCGACGTTCAGGCCAGGGCCTTCGGTCCGCTCCTGGCCGGCCGCAGCCTCGTGGGCCGCTCGAGGACGGGGACGGGCAAGACGCTGGCGTACCTGCTACCCCTCCTGGAGCGAATGCAGCACGAGAAGATGACGGCTGCACACTCTCTGTGCGTGCTTGTGCCCACGCGAGAGCTCTGCAAGCAGGTGGCCAGCACACTGTTGCAGCTGTCGGTGACCACCGACGTCGCGGTCGTATACGGAGGCGAGGCCCTGGAGTCGCAGGAGCAGCTGGTGCGCCTCGGGGCGCGCGCTGTGGTTGCGACGCCGGGTCGGTTCGTGCAGCTGTGCCAGCGAGGGACGCTGCAGGTCCAGAACGTCCGCATACTGGTGATAGACGAGGCCGACGCCATGCTCGGGCTAGAGTACATCGGCCGCGTGGAGAAGGCCGTCTCCGCTGTCCAGAAGCAGGGGCTGCAGGCCGTCCTCTTCTCGGCGTCGCTGCCTCCGGATGTGCTGGCCGTAGCGGACCGGCACTTCCAGAGCTACGACTTTCTCGACCTGGTGGACCGGCGAGGCGTGCGCAGCGCTGCGACGGTCCAGGCGGTGCAGCACGTTCTGTACAAGGTTCCCCCTGATCACGCCGCCAGGACTCGGGTGCTGCTGCACATCTTGTCCGAGAGGCTCGACTTGCAGCCAGGTGCCAAGTGCATGATATTTGTTGGCTCTGCGAAGGAAGCGCGGACGCTGCTGGCGCACCCCGCGCTGGAGCGCAGAGCGCGCTCGTTGCACTCAGACTCCGGCACGAAGGAGCGCGACGCCGTCTTGACCGCCTTCAGGAACGGTGAGTTCGACGTGCTGGTAGCGACCGATGTCGTGGCCCGCGGTCTGGACTTCGCGGACGTGGTCTTGGTTCTGAACTTTCGTCCGCCGAAGGAAGCTGCGCAGTATGTGCACCGGGCCGGACGCACTGGGCGCGCGGGCGCTGGCGGCGTGTGCGCGACGCTCTACGATTCTTCCGAACACAGGGCCATCGAGCGTATCCGCCGCGCCACTCGGCAGGCGTTCAAGTTGGAGGCGACCCCCGGCGGAGAGGACCTGCACAGAGCGGCGGTGGGGAGGCTGCTGGGCGAGGTATTTTCCGTACAGCCCGAGGAATACGAGCCGTTCTTGGCGGACGCCGAGCGGCTGCTGGGCGATCGAGGCCCCCAGGTGTTCGCCACCGCGCTTGCGGTGTTGGACAGCCGCCACGCGGACCTGGCGAGGGCTGGTGGCGACGACCCGTCGCTCCTCAGCGGGCAGAAAGGATACACCTGCCTCGTCGTGCACGACCCCGAGCACGAGGCCGCCGAGTCGGCGGCGCAGCTGCGCGCCCTGGTCTCCGGGCTCCTGCGCCCGCGCGCCCGCGAGCGCGACAGCCCGGCGGTGGGCCAGGCCTGCCGCGCCGAGGGCGGGTGGGCGGTGGACGTGGCGCACGCGCACGCTGCGGCGCTGGTGGAGGACCTCCGCGCCGGGCGCCTCCGCGCGCCCTTCGAGGTCTCCGCCGCCCGCCGGCTGCCGCGCCTGCTGCACCCGCGCGCGGCCCGCCCCGGCGCGGGGGCCCGGCGCCTGCCCTGGGGCGGCATGCGGAAGCGCGCCGTGGAGCGCGCCCGGGAGGCCGTGCGGAGGATGCGCTCGGCGGGCGCGCCGCGCCGGGCCCTTCGCGGCCATGCCGAGAGCCCGAGGCTGGACCTCCCAGCGTCGCTCGGAGGAAGAGGCTCCCTCCTTTTTTTTCTCGCTCTCGGCTGCTCCCGCTTCCTGCCTTCGCCCCGGCCCCCTCATGCTCCGTTCTGCCTCGTTCTCCCCCCCCTGCACCCCTGCTTCCCCAACTGCTGCTGTTGCTGCTGCCACCGCTGCTGCTGCCGCCGCTGCTGCCGTTGATCATACTCCGTCTCTTCCTCCTGCTCCTCGTTGTCTTCGGCGTCTGCCTCCGGCTATTCCTGCCATTTACTGGACGCGTTGCCCCCAAGGTTCTTTTGAACATTGCTGTCTAGACTCTAGACACTACACATTGTTCACTTCTAATGTTTCGAAAGTTCGTTAATTTTGGGAGGGCCAAGTTCCGTTCATTTCTAATTGTTCTATCCTGGGCCTCTTCCTGGCCACTGGGGGGCCAGGTACAATCAGAAACGAGCACAATTAGAAATTATCACGATTAGAAATGAGCGACGTGTACATGTTCATCTTACTTCGAGCTTACATCAGCGTTCATAACATGTGCTGGACTTGGTTGCCGTTCCAGGTGCGGCAGAAGGTTGTGCAACAGCAAGGCCGTAGTCCAGAACATGGTGCCCATACTTGTGTTATGGTGTGGCTCTGATGAGGCCAGGTTGCCTGCAGCACTCCAACTCAACATACATGATTGCGGGGCGCGATTGCGGGCAGGATGTCTGCAGGTGTTTTCCTTGGTTTTCGCACGTCCAGTCAGAGCATGCTTTCCGATGCAGGGCAACGCATCTTGCCGACCATGGTTGTCGAGCAGGCTTGCCATGAGCTCCACTCCCCTCCCCCTTCGCCCCCACCTTCCCACCTCATCCCTTTCTCCCCCTCCGCACCCGGCGATGCTGAGGTTTTGGACGACTTCGTCGAAAGCCTCACGACCCGCGAGACCGAGCTGGTGCACACCACCGATCTAGATCTTCGTACGGCGCGCTCCGTTTTCTAAGTCTGCCTCGTGCTCGAGGGTCAGCTGCAGTTGCTGCATCAAGTAAAACACCAGCCTGCCAACAGTTTCCTAAGGGACATGTCGTAGTTCCCAGAGGCCGTGGAGCCCACGGGGCCCACAGGAGCTCTGGGACACTTGAGGGCCCTCAGAATCGACGACGAGTGTGCCCCAGGATTTCTTCTAGCAAGGCTTCTTATCGTATGTGCCTGCTACTGGCTGCACGGGACAAGCCCACCCAGAGCGTTGACCGCAAACAGCATTTCCACACAACTTGTGCTTTGCAATTCGCACCCGGCGACGGCGACGGCGCCACGCACATATAAAGCTTGAGTTGTGCATTTGTCGATGCTCTGCTTGGTTCACCGCTAGGCAGCTCATATCTAGGCATTCTGGCCTTGAATGGATACGCTCGGAGCAGTGTGCCTCTCATGTTTACTTCTGAGGGCGTTACCGACGATCCTGTTTGTTCCGAGTTAAGCGCGCATCTGAATTATGTTGGAACGATTCAGTCTGATCTGGCTTGAAAGGGAGAGGATGAAGAGTCTGGGCAACCAGCGACGGAAGAGAAACATGAAGATGGGCAGATTGCGTTCGTCGGGTCTTGGCTTGCGCTTATTTGGCGAGTGTTGCATAGCGTTTGTGCGGACCAGTCCCGGATGTGCCCCCGAGTGTTAGAGATTGTCTTCGCCGATTGATGTCCCAGGCTGTCCCGCTTCCCCCGCTTTCCCTGGATGCCCCGCCTCGCCTGCTGCCCTGGGGTGTTGAGAATTTGGTTCGCCGCTTGTTGTCCCCCGCTGCCCGTTGATGCTGAGATTTGTCTTCGCAGGCCGTTGTCCCTGGCTGTCCCAGCCCCGACAGCAAGATTGGGGTTCTTTGTAGACTCGCATCTCATGTGTCGGATGTGCGACATGTGCGCATCACGCGCTCACCACCACGGCATTGCGCGGACCGAACCAGAGCAGCTCACTCTGCATCCAGTCACGTTGCCGTGCGTATCCGACATTTCGCGAGGGGGGTGCCGGCGGGGAGGGAGGGGTGGGGGTCTGGGTGGTGAGGTCTGATCTTTCCCCCTCCTTTCTCTCGGGAACTTCGTGCGTGCTCTTGGCTTCGTGTATCGTTTGGGCGGGGGCGCGCGTTGGGGATCGCTGCGTCGCATCGCGGGGGGGGGGGGGCGATCCGCCCGCGAGAGGCAGGCGGCGGCGAAGGGGCCCGACGCGCCATCCGCAGCGCGGTGGCGGGCGAACGCTCCGCTCGGCGATCCGCGCACCGGCCTCCGAAGAGAGGAGGGCCGACTCCCCGCACCGAGCGCGCGCCGCCCGTGATGCGGTGGGCATATCCGTGGAACGCGAGTCGGCGGAGCTTGGGCATCGCTGGGACGTGTGCATTCTTTTTTCTCGGCGAGGGCCATCGAGAAGCACCCTTGACCATTTGGCGAAAAAGCCACGCACGAAACCGAAAACCTTGACCATTTGGCGAAAAAGCCACGCACGAAACCGAAAAAAAAAAAACACAGGGGATGGACGTCCGAGCGATGGCCAGGGAGCGCCTGGCCGGTGCCCGCGGGCCGCGGCCGAGGCGGGAAGCAAGCGGCCCCGGGACTGCCGCCGGGGAGCGGCGGGAGAACCCGCCGAGGGTCGATCGGAGGATGGATCGGAGCATCGGAGGGGTCGAGGATCGGGGGCCGATCGGAGGATCGAGGATCGGAGGATCGGAGGATCGGAGGATCGAGGATCGAGGATCGAGGATCGAGGATCGGAGGATCGGAGGATCGAGGATCGAGGATCGAGGATCGAGGATCGAGGATCGAGGATCGGAGGATCGAGGATCGGAGGATCGGAGGATCGAGGATCGAGGATCGAGGATCGAGGATCGAGGATCGGAGGATCGAGGGTCGAGGATCGGGGGCCGATGGGAGGATCGGAGGATCGGAGGATCGAGGATCGAGGATCGAGGATCGAGGATCGGAGGATCGGAGGATCATCGAGGATCGAGGATCGGAGGATCGGAGGATCGAGGATCGAGGATCGAGGATCGAGGATCGAGGATCGAGGATCGAGGATCGAGGATCGAGGATCGAGGAGGATCGGAGGATCGAGGGTGGAGGATCGGGGGCCGATGGGAGGATCGGAGGATCGGAGGATCGAGGATCGAGGATCGAGGATCGAGGATCGGAGGATCGGAGGATCATCGAGGATCGAGGATCGGAGGATCGGAGGATCGAGGATCGAGGATCGGAGGATCGGAGGATCGAGGATCGAGGATCGGAGGATCGAGGATCGAGGATCGGAGGATCGAGGATCGAGGATCGGAGGATCGGAGGATCGAGGATCGGAGGATCGGAGGATCATCGAGGATCGAGGATCGATCGAGGATCGATCGAGGATCGGAGGATCGATCGAGGATCGAGGGTCAAGGACGAACAGGGGGCAGCGGGCGAGGCGGAGGCGGCGTGGGGGCGGCGGGCGGCCTGGGGCAGACGGGGTCGGCACCGATGGCCAGGCGGGGCAAGAGCGGGGGCGGCCACGGGGGCCAGACGGCCGAAGCGAACAACTCCTGCTTCTCCTCCCCTGCCTTATCCTCCTCTTCCTCCTCCTCCCCTTGCTTATCCTCCTCCTCCTCCTCCTCCTCTTTCTCCTCCTCCTCCTCCTCCTCCTTTTCCAGATGAGTTCCCCCACTACCTCGTGTGTCCTCGTCTCCTGCACCTCCTCGCTCTTCCTCGAGGGTCTCTTCCCGGCTCCCCTATCACTCGTCTGGGTCTCGGAGCTGTGCCCGATCCAGAGGCTGAGTATCCTCGTCTGCGCTGCCATCACATCACTGTCCTCAGCTTTCACATGTATCACAAGCTGAAGGCTGACCTTTCCTCGCGCCGTCGGCTACCGACGCCGCCATTCCACTACGAAATCCGAGCCGCCGCACTCGCCGCCATGCGCGTCTAGTGCCCAGGTCACCACGAACCATCTCAGGTTACGTGCGCTCCTCCTCCTCCTTTTCCTCCTCGCGAAAAAAAGAAGAGAGAACTCACAGGGGCAGCGGGCGTGATCCGAAATCGAACCAAACCAGCAAAAGCATGCTACGTTTCCGGAGGCCCACGTGGATGTCTTGGGTCGGGCGCGGGGCCCTTCTGGCGGCGTCTCCGGCGCCGCCCCTGGCGCAGGAGCGGATCCAGCGCCAACCCAGTGAATCCGCGCAGACCTCCGACATTTTGTGTTTACGCAGTTCTTTGTTCGTGCCTTGATGGGCCCAACCGTGGAGTGGACAAAGCCTGGGAACTGCCAAACCACAGAGCATCGGGCCGAGTGGGTGTTGACGGTGGCAACAGTCGTCGAACATGATCCTCCGAGATTCAGGAACACCCTTCGGGCCCTTAGCCCGGCACTTCCCCTTTCCCTCCCCGTGACCAACCACCTGCAACCTCCATGATGTTCGAGTGCGCTCTGCCACGCAGGGCCCCGTCGTAGAAGCGTAGCAGAAGAAGAAGGAGTGCACGAGCGCAACAGCACAAGGGGCGCCCAGAGCCAGCTCACAAGTGTGGGAACGAGCTCGCGTAAGTGGAAGTCCTTTGCTCTTCCATAAGGTTGTACACACGGGTTACATGACAGAGTGCGTCATGGGGCTACCTCTCCCGAGACACCCCTTAACACAATAGTTGTTCTTGGATATCTTCCCCTAAGGCATTGTTGGAAATGCCAGGTTGTGGCAGCCTGCATCGCACGGGCGTGGTTTTGTCGTTGTCCCTGTGGAGGTGTCCTCTCGGATGCAAGGCCACCCTGCTGTACCTGGGGAGGTGTCCCTGGAGAGGTGTGCTGGCAGCGAGAGGGCAAGCGTCAGGCCCAAGTCGACGCTGGAGGTTGCCAGCCCGAACCTCCGCCCTCCAGCTGGACTGCAGCACCACGCCGTTGCTGGAGTAGCTGGGCATCACCAAGAAGGACGCGAGTGCATTGGGACTCCACAGCTGAGCTGGGATCCCACAGCTTCGGGGGCCATCTATGGGACTCTTCGGGGCTTCTGGGGGGAGCCACTTGGGAAGGTTTCGGACCATCTTGGGTGATGATGCTGATGCTGATGACGATGGTGATGATGATGTTGATGATGATGATGATGCTGATGATGATGCTGATGATGATGATGGTGGTGATGACGATGATGATCATGATGATGATGCTGCTGCTGGTGGTGGTGATGATGATGATGATGGTAGCGCTTGGAGGTCTCCAGAGGATACCGTGGGGCCATCTGGACGACCTTGGAGCTATCTTAGGCTTCTGGGGGCGGTCCGGAAGCCATATTCGGACACCTTGGGGCGAAACCAGGCGACTAAAGAAGCTTCACATGTTTTTTGTGTGATGTGTTGCCTTCTCGGAGTACCTTAGGGCCCTCTTGGTGGATTCTGGGGGTTTTCTCGGACTGCTTTTGGATCGCTGTGATGTCATCCTTGGCCATCCTTGGCTCTGGGGGCTCTTTTTGCAACCTAGTTGGTCGCTTCTGGAGGCCCTTGGGCCTTTTTGGCACGCTGGTGGCGCCCCTATGCTATGGGATCCCAGGGAAAAGCGCACCTCTGGGTGATTTTTGCGGTGTTGGACCCCTAGTGTTGACGGCACCGAGAAGCAAGGAAACAGGATTGGAGACTCAAAGGAGACGAGCCACGAGGCATGACAAAGGAACCGATTGATGGCAACACGCAAACACCAAACAGACAGCATCCCATCACGGAGTTTCGCAGACTTGCGACCCTCAAGGGGGCCAGTGGGTTACTGTATCATGCACTGTTCTGCTTTGGGGCCTCGGAGCCGTCAACAGATGGCTGCTTTCGGAGCCGGATGGAGAAGGGGAGGAGGAGTGAGACTGGTGGGCTGCACAGCCTCTGGGGGCGGCTGGTCCCCGTGCGCACGCCAGTGAGGCAGGGCAATTGTGGGAGGAGGGATCCCAGCATCCACCCAAGTGGCAAGGCCAAGCTACTCCCATCGAACTGGGCAGGACTGCCAGCCTTGCCGCCAGGAGGGGAGAGGGAGGGAGGCCGGGAGGAGCCTGCGGGGGAGGAGGGAGGAGGAGGAGGAGGAGGAGGAGGAGGAGGAGGAGGAGGAGGAGGAGGAGGAGGAGGAGGAGGAGGAGGAGGAGGAGGAGGAGGAGGGGGAGGGGGAGGAGGGCGGAGGAGGCAGGAGGCGCAGCAGCTGCACGGGCGGAGAGCAAGAGCAGCAGCCGCCTGCACGGGCGGCTGCGCTGCAGCGCTCGTCCCCTCCGCTGGCCGCACCGGCGCGCCAGCTGCGGCTCGCTGGCGCAGCTGGTCGCATCGCATCTGGTCCGCACCAGCTGAGTCCAGAGCAGCGGCAGGACGGTGGCGGCAGTGGGGGCAGTGGGGGCAGGGCGCTGGCTCGCCCGCTCGGGCTGCACAGGCGCCTCCTGCCCTGCCGCCCCCTCTCCCCCGAGAGTGCGCTCGGTGTCTGAAAAATCAAGGCGGAAAAGGGGCCCGCGGCCGGTGTGCAGAAACGGCACACGAAGGGACGACACGACCGGGGAAGGCGCGCGGGGGTGGGGGGTGGGAGGGGGGGGGGGAACAGGACGCGCACGCACACCACCCAGGAATGTTTGACCTGCCGGAGGGAGAGCGGCAAGCGGCCGGCCGTCTCCCCAGAGGGCAAGGGTGCATACGCGAAAGGGGGTCGCCAGGGCACGGCGAGGGGCCGAGGCGAGCCTTCGAAGCCAGAGCTCGGGCCTCCGGGTCGGAGGATCGGGCGGGGCCATGGGACCGAGATCAATCGTTCCAGAGCGATCCGGAGCGTGTGCCGAGCGTTTCGGGGCGCTCTGGAGTGGCCGCGGCGCCCGGTGCATCTTTCAGAGCCGCCAGATCTCATTCCCTGGTCCTGGATCTGGAACCAGCGAGTGCGTCCCCCAGGTCTGAGGACCCCACCCGGACCACGCCTCCTCCACCGCCTGCAGAGGTTGTCCTCGCACGATGCACCACGCGACCGCTTCTGCATGGCTCGCATCCTTTGTTACCAACCGCCCTGTGGTGTTGGGCCCTGGTTTTGAGGAGGCAGCGTCTTGTGTCCTCCTCCACAATTGCTCAATATGAAAATACTCCCCCTCTTCCCCTGATGGCGTCCGGGTGATGGCCGCGCACCCTCCGCGTACTGTTTTTTTACAAAGGATGCCCGGGAAATCCCGGGAAACGACTCGCTGAGGCGCCGGCGTCATTTTTTCCCAAAATGCTGCTTTCGTTGAGGCGCCGGCCTCATTTCTGCTCCCGAATCGTTCCGAATCGTGCTCCCGCTGCAGCGTGGGCCTCATTTTCGGATCGGTGTTTGGCCTCCGTCGTTCAGGATGGCGTTCTCGCCCCAGCGCGGGCCTTTTTCTCGCGCGCCCATCCGCCCGCCACCACCGCGCCGCACCGCCACCACCACCACCACCACCACCACCACCACCACCACAACCACCACCAGCACCAGCACCAGTACCAACACCACCACCACCAGCACCACCACCACCACCACCACCACCACCACCACCCACCCACCACCACCACACCACCACCACCACCACCACCACCACGACAACCACGCACACACGCACGCACGCACGCACGTGCACCACCACCCACTACGCACGCGCGCGCGGAGCCACAGGTCCGCTACGACACGCGTCCGCGGATAGAGAAAATCAGCGCCATGGTAAGGGATGGGAGGGAGGGGTAGGACGTCAGATATGATGCGAGCGCACCTAGCTTGTCCTCTCCTCCTCCCCCTCCTCCCATCCCTGCCTCTGCCCTCCACAGGTCCTCATCGTCATTATTATGATCATCATGACCGCCATCACCACCAGCAGCATCATAACCACTATTCTCACCATCTGGGGTCAGACCCCTCACACGCTCGTTGTCACTCCTCACCGCCCTCCCCCTCCTCCTACGTTCGACGAATCATCCGCATTACCGGTATTCACCACCTCCATCATCAGCATCATGAGCGTGACGATGCCCATTACCACCATTGCGTATTCAGGTTCACCGATGCGTGCGGACACGACGAACCGTCAGCCCACGGCTTCCTGTCCGCGCCGAGGGAAAATAGAGGAACGGCAGCAAGAGGAGGGAATGTGTGTGCGGGGGGGGGGGGGAAAGTGATGGATGTTGTCGAGCGACTTCCAGTCCACCAGCCGCCTGGGCCTGGTCGTCGGCCTCCGACCAGGGCCGGCTCGGTCGGGGGAGGGAGGCCTCGTGGCAGGTCGGTCATGGCTGGGGCGGTGTTGTCACGCCTCGGAGCTTCACATTTGCGTTCTCGACTGGCACCTCCCAGTGCCTGTGGGATGGCCGCTGCACGACCTTCGCCGCCTTCTTGCGGCTCTTGGTCCATTCTGGTAGTTGGTGGTGGCGTTGGTGGTGGTAGTGCTTGTAGTAGGAGGAGGAGGAGGAAGAAGAAAAAGAAGAGGAGCAGGAAGAAGAGAAGGAATATAACAGGATGAACAGGGGGGAGAAGGACGAGACAGAGGAATGAAGAAGACGAGAATGATGGAAAGGGGGAATGGGAGGAGGAGGTGGGAGAAAAGAGGACAAGTGGGATGATGTGGATCGGAAGGAGGGCGGGGGAGGGGATCGCGTCGGAACGAGGATTGGAGAATGCGTGTAAGAAGGTAGAAATGGTTGAGGAGGAAGGGTCGGGGTATGATGAGCAGGAGGAGGAACATGGGCACAAAAAGAGAATGAGGATAGGGAATTTGAGCAAGAGGAGGGGGAGGGAGGAGGAGTGAAAGGATTAGGAGGGAGGAATCGGTCTGCGACGGAGGGGGAGGAGGAGGAGGTGGATCAGGAGGTGATGAAGAAGGTGTTCGAGTCAAGTTTGAGGAGAGTGGAAGACTATAGACCAGGGGAAGTCCACATTTTGTCGGTTTTTCCTGCAGTTGACCAGAGGCATGTATATTGTACCCAGGCGGCTGACAGCCGTCGCAGGTGGCATCCACCAGAGCGTGGTCCACGATGACCGCGCCATTTGCGCGCCGAGGGGGCTTGCCTGGTGGGCAGCAACCTCCGACACGCCAATCTGCCGCGCGCACGTCTGCGCCGCCTTGCAAGCGGCGGTGGCCAAACTCACCTCCACACTAGAGAGACAAGCTCCTGCGCACGCACGGCAGACTGGGCACGGCGGTTCCGCCTCGCCCCTCCCTCCCACGCGCAATAGGAAGACAGCGCGCTGCAGTCGCGGTGACTTGGAGCTAGCTGCGAGCTTGGGACTTGGGGCGGGCTGGGGCGAGCTGCGGCTGCGACTTCGGACTTTGCTGGCGGGTTCCCGAACGGTCTTCGAGGGTCTTCGAGGGCCCCTTGCTTGCAGGGATGCGCTATGCGAGCGCAGCTTTGCTGCCATGGTGGAGGGCACTGCACGTGCGCAGCCAGGGCACAGGCGGGAGGTCTTCTGGCGTGAGACCGCGGTCTCGGGGATCCGCTCGCGGGTAGCGTCGGCAACGCCCAGGAAGCTTCGGTGGGTGACCAAGGATCGCTGCACAAGCAGGTGCAGGAGCGTCGTGGACGACATCGATACTAATTTGGATGTCGTTGACTTGCGCAAAAGCCCCGCTAAGCTTCTAGATCTTGTGACCAGAGCCATGGGTGGCCGCATGCCAATCTATCATTCGAAACTGCCATGCCGGCAGTTCAGGACGCGTGAGAACATTGAAGTCGAACGCCAGAGAGAAACAACGTGCCAAGTTCGTGTGGCATTGGCGAGATGTAACGGGCAGGCAAGAGCAGAGAAGGGAAGCTGCCGGCCCCTGCTTCCTCGGCGACCCTCTCGATGAGCGGTTCCTCGTTTCGCTGCCGGTCTGATTCGTGGGGTTGGCTGAGCGCTTTTGTTTGTGGCCCTTCACGATTCATTTCCAGTGACACATCAGGTATATGCACACATGAGGCGTTGATGACAGGGCCTCGCCTTCGAGAGCCGAAGGAGTTGGCATCTCTTTCCCGGCGGAAGGCCGACGGAAGCCAGCTTAAACAGATTTGGGTCGGGCCCTGCAGCGGAAACCGGCGGCCGACCACTTGAGGCCTGCGGAAGAAGAGCATGGGCCTCGAAGAGATGGCATGGTTCCGCCATATGGAGGGAACGCCGATTTCAAATATGCGCCCGTACATCGACGGCACGGACATGCGAGCTCACTAGGAGCGTCGCCCGCCTGAACGTTCGAAACAATTCAGGCCATCATTTACACGTTTATTTTCCAGCTCCAAGCAGCTTTACGCATGAAGGTCGGTTCTCTATGGTGCATCTCGACCTTTTGGCACGCGATGCGGTCGAAGTTTGATGTTCTCGTGGGGTTGCAAGGCGGACGCGGTCACAGTCTCAAAGTATCAAGGGTCGACAGCCTCCTTTCAGATTCCATGCGCAATAGAGCACAAACCTTGTCAGCGGGCGCTAGCCGTAGTGAGACGGAGCATTTTAAATGACGACAGTGTCATGTCTTTGGGCAGGAGGGCGTGCTACAGCATCAGCACTGCACGGTGTGGCTGCCGTGGTCCTGCTCGCCCCCCCTCCTCCGTGCTTCCGGTCCTGCTGCCGCCGATCCCCCTCGCTGCCCGGCAGGAGACTCGGCGTGGTGGATCGTGGAAGGCTGCCCCGAGCCACCCGAACACGCTGGGTGCCCTCACAGCTGCGGAACCCGCTGCCCCGCAGGTCGCAGGCGGACAAACACATCTCGGTGTCCACGGGCGTGCGGGCCGGCCTGGGCCCCGCAACCACACGGCAGCGGCCCCGTGGCCGCGGGGCCTTCTCTCTCGCAGCTGCCCCGCGCGGAACGTGCCCCTGCGACCGCGCCTCCGCAGGATCGCGCTGCGGATAGGGGGCCAGGTGCGAACCCCGCCCCTACCCCCCACGATTTCTGGGGGGGCGGGGGGGGGGGTTCACTGCGCTCGGGAGCTCCCGAACGAAGTGACCCCCCCCCCCCTCCCCCTCAGAAATCGTGGGGCGTAGGGGTGGGGTTCGCACCTGGCCCCCTAACAGAAGGTGCTCGCCGCCGCGCGGATGCCGACGTGCTCGCCGCCGCGCGGAGGCGCCACGAACGAGGGCCCGGGCGGGCGTGGAGCGCGGCGCGCCCGAGCCCGGGGGCCGCCGGCCTCGGGCGCCATCGGGCGCAGGGAGCCGCGGGCCGCCGCGGCAGCCGCCGCGAGAAAGAGGAGGGGGGGGCCGAGGCCCGCGCCGCGCCGGCGCCTCTCCTCCGGCACGAACGACGTGACGTGGGCACTCCAGATTTCGTCATAAAGGGAGGGGGGTCTCGTTTCGGGGGGGCGTCTCTTCCAGGCTATCTTGGAGGGCCTGGGGGGGTCTGGGGACGATGTTTTGGAGGGTTCTCCCACGGGGGGGGGTCTGAAACTTTTCGTCTGGGAGGGTCCAGACCCCCTCCCTTTTATGACGAAATCTGGAGTACGGAAAGGATCGGGGGCGGACAGAGCCCCCCACAGTGACACGTCGATTGGTGCATTGTCCGTCTTCGGATCTCGAGAGGGGGCGCCGCGGCCGTTCTTTTCCAGGCTGGCGCCCGCCAGGTTTGGGCCTCAGGTCGTTTTCACTGAACCACGTTTTACTAAAGGGAGGTCTGTCCATCCCCGAAAGAATGGGTGTGATGCCCAACAGCAGTTCCTGCTCATTTTGAGCAGGACTCGCTGTCGGTGTCGCCGCGGCCTGTGCACATCTGAAACAGAAGGCCGCCTGCCCAACAGCGGCCGCTGTTGGTTTGGGACAACATTTGTTGTCGTACAATGTATTCATTTTCCCTTACCCATTTCGGGCGTCCAAATCTCTCCTCCCCCGGAGTTCTCCTTCAGCCTGGTCAGGGCGAAGGGGGGGGGACCGGGAAAAGGGGGGCGTTCCGCCGCGCCGCCGGGCGTTTTCTTAGATTCATGGGCGCCTCTCGCGCTGGGAGTCGTGGGTGAGACCGGCTACATGAGCTGATTTGCCCACCCTGGGTCCGCCCAAGTGCAGTCCTGGGCCCGAGTGGATGGGGTCGGAGGATCACGCCGCATCGCCGATGCATCGGCGATGTGGCTCGATGTGGAGGGAGCTCGATCTTCCCTTCCCCGACGTCGCCGATACATCGGGGATGCGACGCCATCCTTCGACCCCATATGACCCCATGTGGGAGGCCTCCGCTCAGCTTGTTTGCCCACCGCCAGGATCTATCTGTGTGTCCACCGCCCCGGAGTCGTGCCCTGGGATCACGAGGGCCTCTCGAGGAGTAGTGTGTATGGGATGTCCGCCCGTCCCCGAGGGCGGGGACTGTATCCACACCCACCGTTCTCCAGGGATCCCGTGCAGCACTCCAGCAGGCTTTGGGATGTGGCTGGTTCTGGGCGGCGCAGTGTCATGTCTTGAGTTCATCTCGCCGAGCGGCCCCAGGATCAAGCCCGTTCGGGGGCCGAACAGGCCCAGATCCTGCAGCCCGGCTAGGGTTGTGCCCGTTGTGCCCGTTTGGATTGGACCAGGCTCAGAAAGGAACCCTTGGGAGTCGCGGAGGTCTTGTGCCCGTCAGGTTGGAATCTCGAGGCCTTTTTGAAGTGTTCAGGACTGCCCTGAATCTTACTGGGCCTGTCTTGGGGCGGTATCGTTGGGATGGCCCTCTCCTCCACGACGCGCTCCTAAAATCTGATTCCTGCGCTCAAAGTCGAGCTTGGCCCAGGGTCAGCTGGCCCTGACAACCGAACATAATCCACACATGGAAAATAACGAGCGCACTCACGAATGATCATCAGCTTTGCTTTGTCTGTTCGGTTGGTCGTGGGTCCTCCAAGGCCCTCGGGGTCGGAAAGGAAGGGATGGAGGGAGGATGGTAGTGGAGATGAGAGGAGAGGGAGGCAGGGAGGAGAGGGGGAGGGTAATTGGGAGAGGGAGGGGGAGAAGGGAAGCGACGGGGGAGGGGGGACGGTGGGAGGGAGGGAGGGAAGGGGATGGAGGAGAGGGAGGGGAGGGTAGGGGAAGGGGAGGGAAGGGGGGGGAGGGGAGGCGAGGGGAGGGGAGGCGGTGGGGAACGGGGCCGCTCCGCCGCCGCCTCGCTGGCGGCTGCGGCGCGCGCCCCTCGGGGCCCCCGCATGCATGGCCGGCGGGACCTGCCCGTGGGCCGCGAGCGTCGCGGGCAACCCCTGCGCCAGGCGCTCGCGCGGGCCGCCCCCGCTCTTCTCGTCCGTCGCCGCCCCCGTCCCCCCGACCACCCCCCTGGGAGTCCATGCCGATCCGCTCGATCCGAGTCGATATCGATGTTGGCCTGCCCGGTCCGATTCGGTGCCGGTGGTCAGACGATCTGACGCGGCCCGATATTTGCATGGCGGCGCTGGGGATCCTGTCGCAGCCCACGATTCGGTCTCGAGTCCGAGCCGATGCAGTCCGATCCGTCGATGCTCACTGAGCCTGACCCCCCCCCTTCCCTCGAGTCGCGAACAACAAACAGACGGGAGGTTTTTGGTCAGTCTTGGTCTCTGGCTGCCCCTGCTGGGCCCCTGGAGACCGAGACAAATAATCACTGCGGGCAAAGCATCGGTCTGGGGGGTCCAGGCCTCCAGGGGTCCGCGTGGCGAAAAAGGCACGACGTCGGAGGTGCGGGTTGTCGTCGCCGCCGTCGTCGTGTTGGTCGGCGTAGCTTTCGCGTCGGAGCACCGCAATCGCGACTCGACAGTCTTTTCTTCTCATCATGCATAACTCCTCTGTCTCCACCTCTTTCTCGCCTACTTCCTCCAGTGGCCCTCGTCACCGTCTCGTCGTACTCGTGCCCCCTCCTAACCCGTGCCACCTACGAGTGTCTTCCCCGGCGAGAGAAATACGACTGGAGCTCTGGACTGCATATTTGTTGTACGAGATGTTTTGAGCCGGGCCGATCCGCGGAGTGGGGCCGTCGGCCCTGGAGCAGAGCAGCAAACAAAACGCTTGGACGTAAGGCTCGTTTCCTCGCTACGGGTTGTGCATAGACAGCCCCCCCGAACATAGACTTCTGGGCCTCAACAAGCTCCCCACCGAGTAGCCTGGGGCGTTCTCAGCACCCCAACCCGTTGGCGCGAAGCACCCCTGCGGCGCCAGGGCGCCGAGACGTCCCCGAGCTGCTCCGCTGGGCCTGGTGCGGCCAGCTGGGGCTGCCCGCACGGGGGGGGGGTCCCTGCGCAGCCCAGCCCGAAGCCTTACTCCAGATTTCGTAATAAAGGGAGGGGGGTCTCGTTTCGGGGGGGCCTCTTCCAGGCTATCCTGGAGGGCCTGGGGGGCCTGGGGACGACGTTTTGGAGGGTCCTCCCACGGGGGAGGTCTGAAATGGCTTGTCCTGGAGGGTCCAGACCCCCTCCCTTTTATTACGACCTCTGGAGCACCCCCCCCCGCCCCCCCGTCGCCCCCCTTCCTCGCCCGCCCCCCTTCCTCGCCCGCCCCGCCGCCGCCCCCCTTCCTCGCCCGCCCCCCTTCCTCGCCCGCCCCCCTTCCTCGCCCGCCCCCCCGTCGCCCCCCTTCCTCGCCCGGTCCCCGCCGCCGCCCCGCGCTTTCGCACCCGCGCCGCGCGGCGCCCGCAGCCGGCTCCGTTCGCCAGTGGCGCCCGGCGCCCCGGCGGGCGGGGGCGGCGGGCGCGCCGAGCGCCGGCGGGGCGCGGGTCGCCCGGGTGGGGGGGGTGAGCGCAGGGGGGGGGGGGGGTCCAGCCCGTGCGCGCTGCCGTGGACGTCGGCGCCGTCGCCGCCGCCGTCGCCTCGGAGGAGGAGGAGCAGCGGGAGGCGGACGAGGAGGGAGCGGATGCGAATCTCGGGGGCTCGCGCGGGGCCTGGGCGGTGGAGGGAAGAGGAGAGGGGCATGCAGAGGCGGTGAAGGAGGGTGGATGAGGAGAGGGGAAGTGGGGGCGTGCATCAGAGAAGGAGGAAGAGCAGAGCGCAGTCATTAGGAGGGAGGGGGGAGAGGGAGGAGAGGGAGGTCAACATGGGATATGAGGAATAGGAGCAGGAGGCTGGAAGAGGCTGGAGCAGGCAGGATGAGCAGGAGGGAGGGCTTCTACTCCTCCTGCTCCCTCTACTCCTCCTGCTCCCTCCTCGCCTTCCCCTCCTTCTCATCATCCCCTTGGCTCCTCCTTCTTGCTTCCCTCCTTTCTCTCCTCCTCCTCCTCCTCCTCCTCCTCCTCCTCCTCCTCCTCATCCTCCCTTTCTCCTCCTCCTCCCTTTTCCGCCTCCTCCTCCCTTTCTCCTCCTCCTCCTCCTCCTCCTCCTCCTCCTCCTCCTCCTCCTCTGTCTGCCTCGTCCTCGTGCAGCGCAGCCGACGCAGAGGTCGAGAGAGCGAGCGTGGGAGGGCTGGGAGGGCTGGGAGGGCTGGTCGTCGGGGCAATTCACGGGCGGGATGGTGGGGCCCGACCTCTCGTGCCTGTGTGTCGGGCCCCGTCGCGGGGCTGGCATGCCCCTGCCGAGTGCCCAATCTTGCAGCGCTGTTCTTCGCAGTGGGCGGTTCGCCATTGCACCTTTGTGTCAGGTCACTGCGCGTTGAGCCGCAGGCGTTGCCAGGAGTCCATGTCGCTGGTCTTCGTTTCTGTGTCCGCCGTCCCCCCTGCTGCTGCTGATCCGTTTGCTCACCCTCCTCATTCCTCATGGCGCCACGGCGCCCGCCTGCAGCGCCCCCGCCGGCGTGCACTTCGCAGGCCCGAGTGCGAGTCCTCATTCCTCAAGGGACTGTGGCCGCCAGGGAAGGGGAGTTCGCTCGGATTGGTGGATTCTCCTCGAACTCCACCTCCTCCCTGCTGCTGCTCCTCACTCCTTACTCCTCTGTCTCCATCTCCCCCTCCTCCTCCTCCTCCTCCTCCTCCTCCTCCTCCTCCTCCTCCTATTCCTCCTCCCCCTCCTCCTCCCCATCTCCTCCTTCCAGGGATCGCACAGGGTACGGCGGCAGGGGATTACATGATGGTCTGGAGATGTTCGCGACGCCCCCTTGCTCTCATCTCCAGCGCAGCCACAATACCTGCGGGTCTCGGGGTGATGTTCAGGATGTATGCTGGCGCGTTCTTGACAGGACCTCGTCTCCGGCTCGTCTCGCCCTCGGAAGCCAGCGGACGTAAAGCGGCGGCGTCGGCTCCGCTGGCGGAAAACTGGCGGACGGCGGTGTAAGTCACATTC